TGCAGATCATCAATTACCCACAAACTGGCTTCTTACCAGCCAAGATAGGAGAGAACATTGCCCAGTGCCATTTGTTCATTCATTTTTATTTCTTACTCATATTTATTTTGATGTATTTATTCTGAAGTTTGTGACCATCAACAAAGGCAGGGCTTTCTAGATAGCTAAACAAGGCAGAAGGCTTGTAGGAAAACCTTGCACAGAACCTAAGGGTGTCTAGAAGAGGTACTGTAGCTCTTTCCAATTGATACTAGAAAGAGGAACTGTAGCCCTTTCCAGTTGTTACATTAAACCATGCATATGAGACAAACATACTACATGTGATCATCTCAATATGCACAATTGCCATTGCTTCTGAAACAGGCAACATGCATATATTCCAATTTCCGAACATAATTCCAGATTAATCTGGCATCTGGTAGGCATATACCATGGCAGAAAATCCACACTGCCCCTTCCAAAAGAAGTAGCAATCACACACATTGAGTTTCATGTGTAATGCTTTTTGTTCTGTATGTCTCTGCAAGGAACATGTCTGAAAAAGTCTTGTGTTAGTGAAGGGCAAATGTGAGCTTAATAAAAGATGAGGGCAGTAAACCATCAACGTGGAATGACAGAGAGGCCAGGGGAAGAAAATTAATTTGAGATAATCTGGAAGATTGCAGCATACATTTACTTCCCAATCATCAAAGTACAAACTGTGACCTTCATTTAGAACAACTTGTATGTTTCTAGCTGCTGTGAGATGGAAAAAAACGCAGAATAGAGCAAGTGATTAAAGTGTCAGAGCCCTTTCTCTATGAGGAAAGGCTAAAAATGTATGGGGCCTTTTCATTTGGAAAGACAACTAAGGGGATAGGAACAGGATAGATTTCATAGAATTATATGACGTGGCTCAAAAAATTGTGACTATCATCAATGCAGCATCAAAAACATGGGGGCGTTCTTGGGAGCTGCAAGTATTTATGAACTACTCATCTTGTGATACACAGCCTATTTTAAAAGCAGTTCAAGAGCTTTCTATTTTAATAGAAAATGAGTGGCTTAGGTAAAGTAAAAATATCCTTTCTTTGATACATATTTTTGCTGTTTAGTAGTTGGCACCTCACCAACAGCATGGAGTCCACGTTCTAATGAACAATAGGTGCCTAAATAGGACATAAAAAGGCCCTGCTGAATCTCAATATTCCTTCTCAGTTCCATCTCAAAGTATCATGTACCTGACAAAATGGTAATCTAAGATCATCTTTTTCAAGGCACAATTCAAAGTGCTGGTTTCCTAAATGGCTTGAAACTGAGTGAGCCTGAAGGACCGGCTCCTCTTACACTATCCAGCTCACTTATCTGCCACCCAAGCTATACTCAAGGATGAGGTTCATTTTCCCCTGTATCCCCTAAGGTTCATTTCCCAGTTAGAACAGATAAAAGGAAGTACTTTTTTGCCCACAGAGTGATTAACACATGGAATTCACTGCCACAGGAGGTGGCGGCGGCGGCGACAAGAGAGAATTAGATAAGCTTATGGAGCAGAGGCCCATCAGTGGCTATTAGCCAAAAGGTATAGATAGGAACTCTCAGTCTAGGGCAAGGGATGCTCTGTATTCTTGGTGCTTGGGGGGGCCAACAGTGGGAGGGCTTCTAGTGTCCTGGCCTCACTGGTGAACCTCCTAATGGCACCTGGTATTTTTGGCTACTGTGTGACAGAGTGTTGGACTTGCTGGGCCATTGGCCTGATCCAACGTTGGCTTCTCTTGTTCTTATGTTCTCTTCCCCAAACTAGCTCCTTTCCCTCTTCCTGACAGCCACCTTCTCTATCCACTTTTACTGCTCCCTTCTCTCCTTCCCACTCACCAACCTTTCTACCTGCCTCTCCCAGTCTATAGCTGTATTATTTATACCCCACCTTTCTCCCCAATGGGGACCCAAACCAGCTTACATAATCTCCTAGCAACAAGCCGGTGAGGCAGATTAGGCCGCAGGGCAACCCAGTAAGATTCTGTGGCAGAATGGGGACTTGAACCTGAGTCTCCCAGACTCTAGTCTGACACTTCAACCACTACACCAGCTTTCTCTTCCCCTGGAAGCTTCCCTGAGGGAAAAGTCCAGCCAAGATGTAAAAATTATGGTGTTGCCAATGCTGGGCCAATCCACACAAATAGTGCAGTGACCCCTGCTGGGCACGGATGAATTGTGTGGCATCATATCGTCCAAAAGCCACAATCACCCCTTCCTCAGTTGTGCAAACTGCATGGCAGCAAGTTGCTGGGGGTTGCTGCTGGATCGGGCCCTGATGATTCCTCCTATCAGGGCAGGAAGGTATTGTCCCAGTTCCCCAGTACCGGGATGGGACCCCCCACCCCCGGAGACACACCCACACCCCAACTCACCCCGACAGTAGCAGAGGAACGGAGAAGTGATGGCACCGCAGCCCCCGAAGGAGAAACGACACGACTCGAAGCCCAGCGGCTCGGACAGAGGTCGCAACGCCCGCAAGACAAGACCCTCACAGCGAGTGCCACGTCATGCCAACCCCAGGAGCTGGATCTCCGGCCCCACCGAGGGAGAGCTGAGGTCAAGTGTGGCAAAACGCCCAGGCGGTGGCGCGGCCCCAGGGCCGACCGGATTGCCACCGGCTCACCTGCGACCATGCCCTGAACGCCTGGGAAGCGTCCGTTTATATAAAAGAGGGTGGGGACAGGTCGGGAGGGAGGCGGGGAAGAGGGGCGGCATCGGGAGAAAATAAAAGAGGAGCTCTTCGGAGAGACCGGGGAGGAACAGCGTGCGAGGGAGTGAAACTGTGAAGGTGCAGGACAGAGAAAGGGAGCAGTATCCGGCGCATGAGGCAGAGGGACTTGAGGGGTGCCATTAACCCCATCCCCTGCCTGTCTGAGGTCCTTCCGCAGCTCCCTTTTGCGAGCCGCCTCCGACTCCCAGCATCATCTACCACGCAGGGAAACCAGGCACCATGGCCACTGGTGGGTTCCCTCCCAGCCCATAGGAGAAGCGCGTCACAGGTATGAAGCAGTGATCGCATAGAACCTAAGGGTGTCTAGAAGAGGGACTATAGCCCTTTCCAATTGTTACTAGAAAGAGGAACGGTAGCCCTTTCCAGTTGTTATATTAAACCGTGCATATGAGACAAACATACTACATGTGATCCTCTCAATATGATTGGCAATATTGTAGTGGCTGCCTGTCAATGCACAAAATGGCCACTTAGATCTCAGAGGGTGCTCCTATTTCGTATTCATATATGGAGATTTTCCCCTCCTGAACACCGGGGACTTTTTTCAGGTTTGCAAAAAGATGTCTTGACTGTTCATGGCTCCAGTCTCTGCCTTTAAGCACCCACAGATGAGGCCATATCAAGAATTATATATTCAGATATAGTATGGCATAGTGAACCCAAGGCATTTTATTGCATGTAAGAACAGCACCAGTAACTACTGCCATGACAACCATATTTAACTCACTCCATCCAGCATAAATCAATCCATATCAAACCACATTTAACTCACTCCATCCAGCATCAATCTCAGGGAACACCTGTGAGGGAGACCACCTAGGAAATGTGAGGTTGATTACTTAAGAGTATCCATTAGCAGCATGACTTCTTCTTTCTACACAGGATTCTGTCACAATCAGCCAACGTTTCTGAAAGTTAGATTCATGCCAGCTTAGATTACTTTTGCTATTATTGCTAGTGCCGGTAATATAGGAGTCCCTCAGCAAGGGATGAGCTATTCCAGGATTCTGAGGGTGAAGACAGGTTTTTACCCCACTCCCCCAAAACAGCGCCCCTAAGAAAAGCACTTCACTATTCCCTGTAGGGCTGCCCTTAATAATGTAAAAATGGTGTTTAGGGTGCAAGTAGTAGTACTGGGGTAGACATATACATCTCTATGATGAGCCCAGTGTTTGGTCACAACTTCAGTAGCTGTTAAAAGTATCTGGTTTGTTAATGAAAGGGCAGATTCTGATTATGTATTATATTTTATTTAGCAAGTTATTTTATATTTGCGGGTGTTCCCATAAAAATAGGTGGCCGTGTTAAATTTGTGTATCCGTTACATTTATGTACGGTAATAAAATTTTTGAAAGTAACTTAAGGGGGCATTATATTCAAGGTTGCCTTTCCTTTCAGTAAAGGCAATATTTATTAAAAATCAGAGTATGGCTAAATTTTTCACATGACAAACTGACTTGTCTGTCACCTATAAATTCCCAGAGGCAAACTGATAATCTTTTAAACCAAAACTCTGAACTATTCCCTTTCCCACTACACTAGTAACAAATAACAAGCAAGCACTAAATGTCAACCAGCCTCATTGAGTTGGCACTCAATGAAATTGGTGAGCAGTCAGGTTAGAACAGATAAAAGGAAGTACTTCTTCACCCAGAGTGGAAATCACTGCCACAGAAGATGGTGGCGGCTACAAGCATGGACGGCTTCAAGAGGGAGTTAGATAAACATATTTATTTATTACTTTCAATCGATATGGAGCAGAGGTCCATCAGTGGCTATTAGCCACAAGGTATAGATAGGAACTCTCAGTCTGGGGCAAGTGATGCACTGTATTCTTGGTGCTGGGGGGGGGGCAACAGTGGGAGGGCACCTGGTATTTTTGGCCACTTTATGACAGAGTGTTGGAATGGATGGGCCACTGGCCGGATCCAACATCGGCTTCTCTTATGTTCTTATTTGTAGCTGTCCCAAATCCTCCTGCATACATCAACCTGCTGCACACAATTAGAACCAGTCTGACCATCAATGCTGCCAGTCATTTTGCCAACTAAACTAGCAATACCCATCAATTCCCTGTTCCTGCTGCAGGAGCACCCTCATGTCATGCTTCAGGGTCCCATATTCTCCAAGAACAGCAATTCATGGAGATCAGTGGATAGGAAGAAAGTTTCATCCCATTGTTTCCAGTTTCTGTTTTACAATAATAGCTGTCTGTAAGCAAAATAAAGTTCACTACAGTGCATTTTATATTTAACTTTTATTTACAGACATATCCAGTGTGGGTAGATATTGGTTGCTTTCCTCTACAGAAAAAAGGAAAACTGTTTGTAGGATAATTTCCACCTCCAATCTGAAAGAAAAAGAAATGTCAGGAAAACTGAGACACAGCCCTTTTAGATGCACAGCATCACAACTATGCAGTTTTTAATCTTGCAATTTGATCTAGGAAAATCATTAGAAAGGGCCTAAAATTGCTATGTGCTATACAAATTTGGAAATACGACCACCCTTGGATTGCAGGCTTACATCCTAAGTTTAAAATTAGACAAAATAGGAAGAAGAGGACAACTTAAATAGAAGTGACATAGTCAGGAAAAGTCAAAGAAAAAAGACGAGTCTTAATGAGGGACCTGAATGTAGAAACAGAAGGGATAACTAAGTATTAGGAAAACGGACATTCAAGTGGTAGGTGATGACAAGAGAATGGATATATAGGTGGTAAACAGAGGATAATATTTGGTTTTGCTGAAAGGACCAAAGAGCACATACAAAAAAAAAAGAGGAAATATGTAGAGGAGCAACAGATGGCAAAACATGAAAATACAAGAAGTATAACATGGAAACAGGATATTGCCAAGCAAAGTCCAAGAGCCTCTCATTACGTCATAACACTGCTACGGAATAATGTGGAAAAGATCTCTGAGGGAACCAGTCATTTTCATTATTACATACATAAAAAGCCTTCTGTTTAAAACCATGATAAAGAACTGGAACATTCTGCCACATAAATGCTTCTAAAATGACCCACAGTTTGGCGTTATAGGGCTGGATCCAATGAGACAGCATCCTAAAGGAGCTCCCTGAGGCATGTTCCCTGCCTTCCCCTTACTCTAGCCACTTCCCCCTTACTCTAAGTTTGAGCAAACTAAAGGCCAAATTCAGACTACTAAAGACAATACCAAATAATAATTACCTGTTCACTTCTTCAATAGCTGGTGTCTTACTATCAGAAAGGGAGCGATAAACCCACTTCCAAGGAAGGCTGTCATTATTGCCAATAATCGCCATTTATTTTCCACCGAAAAAGGAAGGTTCTGGAGGTACAAGAATTTTGAAGGTATGTGTTAATAGATACAGTAGCATGTTATTATGCAACTGTGTCTGCCCCGAATTCAAAGGAAAGCAATGGAGCCTAAACCCACATATTTGGCTGGATTACATCTAGAATTCCATCCATGCAAGATGAGGGGACATTCACCTCCCCCCCGCCCCCCCGCAATGCAGATGTTCAATTCCCACAAGTTATTTCAGGTCTCCCCTCACTCCCCAGGAGCAGGATGTTAGGAGACATTTCAAACTGCAACAGGGAGCAGGAGAACCATGCTTCCACAAGCAAAAATCATTATAGAATCATATAATCACAGAGTTAGAAGGGGTCATACAGGCAATCTAGTTCAACCCCCTGCTCAATGCAGGATCAACCTAGAGCATCCCTGACAAGTGTTTGTCCAGCTGCTACTTAAACCCATGTAAATTCAATCCATGCAAACTGTAAGCAATATACAAGCTATTAAATGTGCTAGTCTGATTTCTTGTAGAGCAGCTACTGCAGCACACACACACACA